AGCATTTAAAATAGAGTGGAAAAGTGCAAGTTTTCTAAAAAAAATAATGAATAGAGTATAATATATAGGCTACAGCAAGGTTTAATCTGGCCGCAGAGGAACACAACCTGGGTTGCCTGATATAAAGAGCTTCCCGAAACAGAGCTATACTTCAGTAGGTCAATAGGATTTAGTTTTGAATGTGACCAAAATAAAAAATTGTTATTACAGCATCACTAGAACATTTCCAAAGCAAAAGGCTGCATTTAAACAGCAAGTCTTAATGCACAGATCCGATCTTTTGACCATATCCGATTTTTTTGGCCCACCTGTTTTCATTCACTTTAGACACGACTAGGGCTGTGTTCAATGCATCGATACGACGATGTATCGACACATACTACTTGACGATATGGGTATCAATACTGCAACATGTGCGCTTAATTTGAATACAAGAACAGCATTTAAAATAGAGTGGAAAAGTGCAAGTTTTCTAAAAAAAATAATGAATAGAGTATAATATATAGGCTACAGCAAGGTTTAATCTGGCCGCAGAGGAACACAACCTGGGTTGCCTGATATAAAGAGCTTCCCGAAACAGAGCTTCACACTTGCGCAATACAGAAATATCTGCTAAGTGTGTTACTTATTTTTGGCAACCTGGCAACCACGCGCTCTCTCTCTCTCTCCACTGTGGATAAAAGCGCTGGCTTTCTGAAAATACCAGTAAGCTTGCAATTTAGCGATCTCCACTTTGATATTCTATTCTCAGAAAAGTGTAATTCATCAAATGTTCATTTGAGAGAGAGAGAGAGAGAGAGAGAGAGAGAGAGAGACTGTGTATGAATGAATTACCTCCGTTTTTGCCGCATTTCTCTATTAACAGTGAAGCTATGGCTTTAATTGCTTCAGAAACAATGATGTTACCAACTCTTTGCTGGAAAAGATAATGTAGCTCTTCAGCGGTTAAGCTATTTTATTGATAAGATTGCTGCTGAATGTCTGCGTGTGCATGCAGCGCGATCTGTGTGAGTGAATGAATGTGTGCGCGTGAGCTACAATGAAGACAGCGCACTAGTTCAGAACGCTTCTAATTTTTATTTTTATTTTTTAAACGTAGAGAGCGTATTAATTTGGGCAATGATAACCTACCAGCAATGTAAAGATGATTTTATTCATATATTAGAATGAGTACATTACAATATAAATTTAATAGAACGAGTGCATTATTATTTATGGGCTTAAAAACAAGATGCGAACAATCAGAATATTGTACCTGGTGGGAATATTGCACCCTGTGTCATTTCCTATACTGTTAAACTGTGGTACAGTTCTGGAGGCCCTTCATAATGCAGAGGTCGACTGCCTGCTCTGCCTATAGTTAGCAATGGCCCTATAGTATGCAGTGTTTAACAAACAGCTGTTTTACTCAATTCTGCTGAGGTGAAATTCAGTGCAGTCACGTATCATGGCGTCTGGTTTGAGATGCGTATCGTATCGTCACTTTGCTGGCGATACAAGCAAAGTCATGATACAATTCTGAGGTGAAATAAAGTAGCGCTGTAAGATAATGAATGAATGAATTAACGAGAGAGAGGGAGAGAGAACTGGCGAGCAAGTATCTTAATAATAAAGCTTATCACCTCATTGCTGATAAATTCAATGTAGCGTTTAGTAGCGAAGCTGTTGTATTTATAAAATTCACGGGGCAGGGGTTGAAAACCAGCTTGTGAATGTTGTGCAATTTCATCCGAATCAGAGTGTAACTATTTATGGGAAAACGTGTCGACCCTCGCATTGTGGTGGTGGCTTGGGGTTCTGAGGGGAATCGGATGTGTGTGTTTAGACGTAGGTCGGCTGTCTAGATATCAGGTATGTGTCTGATTTAAAAACACATTTGGAAGTGGCTCATATCGGATGCGAAAAAATCGGATCTCGTGCAGATTTTTGTGTTTACACGTGTGCAACAAATTCCGATGTGAGCAAAAAAAAAAATGTTGTGCCAGTTTAAACGCAGCCACAATGAAGTTAGTTCTGAGAAAAGCTCCAGCATCATTTGTTTGCAGTTGACACTTGATTTTGATGTTTTATGATCTAATGCAATGGCATTCAGATATTTTTAAGTGTCCAGATACTTTTGGGGACCTCTCTATGTCTTGTAGAGCGTGCAGAGTAGTTTGAGGAAGGGATGAGGGACTGGAAGTTTACAGCAGTCCAACTGGCAGCAGCTGCAGACAGCCAGTGAAGCAATGATCATCCAGCTCACATATGCTGTCTCTCTCCATCTCAGCTGCCAGAGAAATTGGGAGTTTCTTCTTCATTAGCAGAAATCACATGGACATGGTCATGCAGCCGGAGTTTGCCTGTGATGAGAGAGATCCAGATATTATTCCTCCACAGAAGAGGACATGTGCTCAGGAATTTTAAATGAATCGCAATCTCAGATGAACAGAAATGAGTAATGCATGGAGCCCACATGATATTAAAATGCCTTATTAAGAGGATACTTTTCTTTAATTTGATTTAATTTTCTTACCATCCAATATGTAGGTAACTTTTTTCTTCATTAAAACAGTAAAGAAGATTTTTTAGCTGAAACTAAAATACTGAAATAAAATGCAAGTCAATGGCTACCATCACTTTGAGAGTGAAAGAAAGCATATCAGGCAACACAATGAATACCCATGGCCCTTGACGATATATTGAGGTCTTATGAAGAGAAACAATCAGTCTGTGCAAGAAACTGAACATTATTCACAACATTAATACTTGTAATGCAGAGCCTCAGGCAAACAGGGAGATCTGATTCTTTTCTGCAGACTGGTCCTTTGGGACAGTTTGAATCAATGAACTGGTTCAAATAACTGATTCACCAGTTTGTTTACATAATCACGCAATGATGTATCGCATACGCAATTATATTAATAAAGCACGAGTAAATTAATAGCAAAAGTATCCATCGATGCAAATAGTCTTAGCTGCCTACATTTTTAATAATGACCAGGGTGAACATTAGTAGAATCCAGTTCTAGAAATGTTTTGTGAATAGTGTTTGCAATGCAGTGGTCACCACCACCCAGCAGGTGCATTTTAACCTAATTTAGACCTGTTATGTGTGAACTTTTACTTTAGGTCTTAAACTGAAAATGGTTATGAATACCTGTGATGTGAAGTGTAGCTCTTGAATTAGTCTGTGTGATCATTCAGAGGCCGTATCATTGTTCAACGCTGGCTTCATAGTGCTTAATCTCTCTGGTGGTATCAGTTGTTCTGTGGGTCTGGTGGGGGTTTTCTCCTCACGTTACTGTTGCTTCTCATGCGATGCATGAAATAAACTGGAGTGTGTGTAGTATTTTCCTCTTAGAGCGAGTGGACTGCATTTCTCCAGAGCACTTCGCCTAACACAAGAACTGCCCGTCAAAGTAAAATGAGAAATGTGTGGTTTCTCAGGCAGAGCGTTCTCTACGAGTGTCTTGTGAGTTACAGCTGTTTGATTTGGGAGCGTTTGCTCAAGGATCTTCTGTTTGTTGATTGGAATTTCAGAGGAGGCGCTCGCTCGCTCACTCCCAGCACTCCAGCGAGCTGCTGCAGTTCGCTCACATATGGCTGTAAAAGGGCAGACTCGGAGAGAGAGAGAACTGCCATCTGGTAGTTCTTAAAACCTCTGGAATGCTTTTGCTTTAGTAACACAACTAAACAAGCCATTCCGGCCAAGCCATGAAGCCCCTCCCCAACACACTCCGTCACACTCGTTTCCTCCAGAGCTGTGGAAAATCCAGGGAGTGCGAGTCGTCCTGCCATAATGCTTTAAGTGCAGAATTGAACTGCAAGAAATTCAATAAAAAGTAATTTAATGCCAAAACTGTCAAAGGCCATTACTGGCAATTATTTTAAAATATGCTTAATTCTGGATGCAAAAGCTCTCTTTGACTTTCATCATGTGCTTATTGGAGTTGTCTTCTCAAGGGGTCTTTAGATCTCTGGTCTGCTTTAGACATCTGATGTCACTGTTTAGGGCCCTCTGATTTCCAAAATGTGGAAAACGCTGATGAAATCTAGTCATAAAAATGGAATTTACAGTATAACACGCTTTGTCATGGAATTCAGCCAATGTTTGCCAAAAAAAAAAGGTTACATTTTCAATTATGCCTTCTTTTCACTGTTTTTGATAATACATTTGTATTAAATCTTAAATCCAGGAAAAAAAAACAAAAAAAAAACAGGATTTCAAGGGAAAAAGTTTCATAGGGCCCTATTGTTGTTAAAAAAGTAATATAATAATAATACATAAATGAAATGGAATAAAATCCAGAAAAATGTTAATGAGAGCACAGAATTTGGGAGAAAACTTTTTATTTATTTATTTTTGAAAAATAAAACAGACTTCAAAGGCCCTGTTTTTTTTCTCCTAACATGTAATAAATTATTAAATATAATTAAATAAGATTTATGATTTTAATTAATTAGACATTATTTTTATCACTAACACTAAATTTGGGGAAAAATTTAATTGATTTTATAGGGCCCTATTTGTTGGATAGACTTTTTTTCCTCCCTGTGCAGAGTTTGAGGTCTGCTTGGAAAGTGTGATTTTATCAAAACTATTGAGTATTGACAATTTCAGTAGTGCTTGCACATGCAGAACTATGTGGAACATGTCCTCTAGTAGCGAAACATGGGATCTTTAAAAACATCAGATACCCTGATATGATGGGAGTCTAATGAATGAACATGTGCTCAGCCCTGTAAGCATGACATCATGGCCACTATAGGGGGAATCATTGCTGATTGCAAGCATTCAGAATAGAGAATATATCAGATGATTAAGCCAGCTTGTTTTAAAAAATATACATTAGCTGTAGATATGTATGAATTATAATGTGCCCATTTTCTTTTAGACTTATTGAGACTTGCATGTGTGTCTGTTTCTAAGTCTCCATTGCATGTCTTTTTCCTGTTGAAATGACCCCGAGTCTGAGACGTCTTGTGATGATCCTGACCATTAACTCCCTCTTTCACAGACATCCGGCATCCTGAGGAGCTCTCCTTACTCCGCAAGCCCCGCGACCCCAAGAAGAAGAAGAAAAAGCTGGAGGAGGCGGAGGAGGAGGCGCTGGAGCTGGAAGGACCACTGCTCACTCCTGGATCAGGTACGTCTCAGATCACCTTCACCATGTGTCTGTGGACTGTAAAGAAGTCCTATGAGAAGGTTAATGCACTGGTCTCTCCGTCACGTCATTAAATACTCAAACTATCTATAAGGTCCACTTTAGGAAATGGTAGTTTTGATCAAAAACCGAGTGAGCTGCCTACATAAGTCATGGAACTTAATATGTCATTGGTTTTCAGTCCTAGTCCTGAGGTCCAGGTGCACTGCACATTTTCTGTCTCCCTTATTTTAACACACCAGATTCAGATCATTATATTGTTTGGATACAGCTCCATGAACTGCACTATATGGAAGCCCGTTTCCGCCACTGAATAAAAAATAAAGGTTATTGCGACTTTCTCGCAGTTGCGAGTTATAAAGTCCAATTTTGAGGGGGGAAAAAGACTATGTTCTCAGAATTGCGAGTTTATATCTCGCAATTCTGAATTAATAACTCGCAATTGCGTGTTGTAAAGTCAGAATTGCGAGATATAAACTCGCAATTCTGAGAAAACATTTCAGAATTTTGAGTTTATATCTTGCAAGATAGATAACTTCATCTGATTGATTTTTGAAGGCAGCATAGGATACATCCTTCACTGTCTATGATATCCCACAATCCTGTGCATGCAGTTATGTAAAAGTTGAGCTAAAATATAAAATGGTGTCTGCAAAGTTATGCTTGGTGGGCAACTTTTTCACTTTTGATGTAATTTCTCCTAATAAATTAGTATTGTAGTAATTAAATATTTGCGTAGTTACCCAAGCCCTTGTTTTGTTGTAGATCGTTGGACCGTTATTCTGCCTCAGAAGGTGGATAAATTACATTTTAGTAATTAAAAAGCATGCCTAATTAACTGAAATCATGAAACTTGTACAATTTAACAACAGTTTATTAAAATTGTAACCAAAGCTATATTTTTAAAGCTCTATGAAATCTGTTTTATTTTTCTGGATTATTTTCTCATCATTTAATTCAAGTGTAATAATCAAAAAGCATATCTAATTAATCAATTTAATACAATGTTAACCAAAGGGCACTCTTTGTCAGGTTTTATGCCTTATTCAATCATGAAGCCAATATTTCTGTCATAAATTCTGAGATGCAGTTCTTATTGTCCACATCGCTGATATCATATGGCACTTAAGATGTGCTAATGTAAAATGTCCAGTGCTCTGGGTCCCCTAAACCGGATTGAAAAAGTTATAAGTGCCCAAGCGACTCAACCCAATTGATTTTAATAGAGTTTGACAAAGTAATAGTACTCCTCTCTTCAACAAACGTGAGGCATCGTTCATATCCGTCACACAAATCATGCAGGTGGGGTTACACGCTGTTAGTTCGAATCGCAAACCCAAGTATGAGCAATACATAGTGATGGTTGACTTGCACAACTTTGATTGTCATGCCACATCGCTTGGCTTGTTTGCAGAGTAGACGGTGTTTGATGGTTTGGAACCCATGAAGCTCCATAATGGTGCGCGTGTGGTTGAAGAGCAGGAAAACAAAAGGGTTGTTATGTTGAAACAGTGCTGAAATGAGAAATGTGTGGGTTGAGAGCAGCGTCTCATTTGCAGGCTTGCTGTTCTCGTTCAAACTTCGGAGCGTGAATGGTTCAGATTCCTCACATATTTGGTCACGCTGCCATTTTGAAACTGAGCAGTCAGCTACATCGCCGAGCACCCCACACATGATGCGCTAAAATCCATTTACGATGCACAGAGGACAGACTCCCATCTCCTCAGGTCGACATGAATAGGGTCTGTTGTCCCAGGGCCCCTGTGCGATGCATCCCCCATGCAAACTCTACATGTAGGCCAAAACGCTTGTGTCTGGGATCTGTTCTCCACTTGTTCCTTCATTACGACTATTTATCCTCATGATGACCCTCATTAAAATAGTGCAGGACTCCCGATGTTTAGTGACCATAAAGACTGCACAAAGACTCTTTTAGGAAGGAGAAAATGTAACGGGAGCTGCCATGAGTCGTTTTGGTCCACAACGGGAAATGAGCCGAAGACCCGCCGCTTGGTCTCTTCTCAGAAGGATTTAAGTACAGGTCACCGTGATAAGAATCGCTTTGATAATGACACGAGCAGGACCTGAGCTCCACCCATAAGTATTGTTGTTCCTATCCCTTCGTCTACGGATCTTCAAACAAAACAATCTGCTCTGGAAGTAGAGCTCTGTCCACCTCTGTCCTGTATCTGAACATTCATATGCACATTTATGCATTTAGCAGATGCTTTTATCCAAAACAACTTACAGAAGAGGAACAAAAGCCATTTGTCAAGGAGCCTACAATATTTGTAATATATAATGCCTTGTTTATTAGACAACTAGATTAGGAAGTAAACTAGAATAGAGGAGAAACACAGATAATTTATTATTATTTTATGTATGTATTTATTTATTTTGTAAGATATACACTAAAAGTACAAATACCATGCTCTTTAGACGGACTAGAAATGTTAGATCAGCTATTAATCTTTGGAGGGGGTTGAAAATCTGTGTTGCCCAGCGACAGCCCCAAAACATTACTGCTCTTGAGGAATGGGCCAAAATACCAGCAACCGTGTGTGAAAACCTTGTGAAGACTTACAGAAAATGTTTGACCTCTGTCATTGCCAACAAAGTGTATATAACAAAGTATTGAGATGAAATTTTGTTATTGACCAAATACTTATTTTCCACTATAATTTGCAAATAAATTCTTTAAAAATCCTACAATGTGATTTTCTGGATTTTTTTTTCTCATTTTGTCTCTCATAGTTGAGGTATACCTATGATGAAAATTACAGGCCTCTCTCATCTTTTTAAGTGGGAGAACTTGCACAATTGGTGGCTGACTAAATACTTTTTTTCCCCACTGTAAATTGAAAAATAACTAGTTTAAAAATAAGTTTACTGTCCAGTAGGCTTGCAGCGATAGACGGTGTTTTCGGTTATACCGGTGTTAAGCCACAACACCGGTTACGTCATTCGCCTACCGCGGCACCGCCCCCCACCGTCGTTTTGATTTTTTTATAGTAACAAATATCATTTAGCCTAGTTCAGTTAGAGGACAGATACTTTTAAAAACGAAACGCTCAATGCAGCGTGTCGAACCGTGCGCGAACGACAGGAGTCAGATTTGATTTATCACGTGAGGAGAGTGAGTCGAGCTGACTGACAAGAGTGAGGAGAGAAAGACAAGACGATGGCAGAAGATTGTTTAGAAAGGAAATGCAAAGGTGCCTGTTTGGCAATATTTTAGATTTTGAAAAGCCTATTGATTGGAAGTTTTTTTTAAACATTCGTTTCTTATTTATTTGGTTCCACGGTGTTTGCTGATTACTTTATTTAAATTTTTTGTGTATTTTATTTATTTTATTTTACATCAAGGTGTATATGCTGTGTCTCCCAAGTTTTCTTATTCGTTTTGCTAATAAATGTTCTATGCTTCTTATTTATTTGGTTCCACAGTGTTTGCTGATTTTCAGTTTTATTTACCTATTTAAACTTTGTGTAGCCTAAGTAATTTGTTATTTTAATAGGCATAGGTCTATATGGTGTATTTTTATTAGTTTTGTTAATAAAAGTTCTGAGTTTGACGTTGTTGTTGCTTGAATTGAATCAACGCTGAATTGCCCCTCATTTGAAAGTGAAAGTAAAACGTGCACGGCGCTTTTTCAAGCTTTATTTGAAAGCCAAGAAATCTGAGGAAAAGAGGGAAAACTCAAACAAACAGTTGCTTGACGCCGAATTGCGGCAGTTGCCACTAATTTGAAAGTGAAAGTAAAATTTGCACGGCACTTTTACAAGCCATTTGAAAGTGAAGAAAAGAGGGAAACTCAAACGAACTAACACCCCTGCCCACCCCCGCGGTGATACCGGTATTACCGTTGTGTTGTCACTCGTCGATTAAGCGGTGGGAAAATTTCCTCACCGTCACAACCCTAGCAATTGAAAGACAGTAATGTTGAGTCAACAGATTTTGATCTGTTAATTTGATAATAAATTAATAACTTGAGGCTTAATTACAAAAAAATATTGATATATTGTTTGTGTCTCACATTTCGAATAGAAAATAAATATATTTACTTTAAGGTGGGTGAATGACCTCTGTCATTGCCAACAAAGTGTATATAACAAAGTATTGAGATGAAATTTTGTTATTGACCAAATACTTATTTTCCACTATAATTTGCAAATAAATTCTTTAAAAATCCTACAATGTGATTTTCTGGATTTTTTTTTCTCATTTTGTCTCTCATAGTTGAGGTATACCTATGATGAAAATTACAGGCCTCTCTCATCTTTTTAAGTGGGAGAACTTGCACAATTGGTGGCTGACTAAATACTTTTTTTCCCCACTGTAAATTGAAAAATAACTAGTTTAAAAATAAGTTTACTGTCCAGTAGGCTTGCAGCGATAGACGGTGTTTTCGGTTATACCGGTGTTAAGCCACAACACCGGTTACGTCATTCGCCTACCGCGGCACCGCCCCCCACCGTCGTTTTGATTTTTTTATAGTAACAAATATCATTTAGCCTAGTTCAGTTAGAGGACAGATACTTTTAAAAACGAAACGCTCAATGCAGCGTGTCGAACCGTGCGCGAACGACAGGAGTCAGATTTGATTTATCACGTGAGGAGAGTGAGTCGAGCTGACTGACAAGAGTGAGGAGAGAAAGACAAGACGATGGCAGAAGATTGTTTAGAAAGGAAATGCAAAGGTGCCTGTTTGGCAATATTTTAGATTTTGAAAAGCCTATTGATTGGAAGTTTTTTTTAAACATTCGTTTCTTATTTATTTGGTTCCACGGTGTTTGCTGATTACTTTATTTAAATTTTTTGTGTATTTTATTTATTTTATTTTACATCAAGGTGTATATGCTGTGTCTCCCAAGTTTTCTTATTCGTTTTGCTAATAAATGTTCTATGCTTCTTATTTATTTGGTTCCACAGTGTTTGCTGATTTTCAGTTTTATTTACCTATTTAAACTTTGTGTAGCCTAAGTAATTTGTTATTTTAATAGGCATAGGTCTATATGGTGTATTTTTATTAGTTTTGTTAATAAAAGTTCTGAGTTTGACGTTGTTGTTGCTTGAATTGAATCAACGCTGAATTGCCCCTCATTTGAAAGTGAAAGTAAAACGTGCACGGCGCTTTTTCAAGCTTTATTTGAAAGCCAAGAAATCTGAGGAAAAGAGGGAAAACTCAAACAAACAGTTGCTTGACGCCGAATTGCGGCAGTTGCCACTAATTTGAAAGTGAAAGTAAAATTTGCACGGCACTTTTACAAGCCATTTGAAAGTGAAGAAAAGAGGGAAACTCAAACGAACTAACACCCCTGCCCACCCCCGCGGTGATACCGGTATTACCGTTGTGTTGTCACTCGTCGATTAAGCGGTGGGAAAATTTCCTCACCGTCACAACCCTAGCAATTGAAAGACAGTAATGTTGAGTCAACAGATTTTGATCTGTTAATTTGATAATAAATTAATAACTTGAGGCTTAATTACAAAAAAATATTGATATATTGTTTGTGTCTCACATTTCGAATAGAAAATAAATATATTTACTTTAAGGTGGGTGAACAACATTTTCTATGGGTTATCTGCCCATAACAAAAAAAGAAAAAAATCAAGCCTTATTTTATGTGAAAAAAGTGTATTAAAAATCAAGCCTTGTTTGTGGAAGTTTCTCGGAGCATCACTGTGAATGAGTTTAATGAAAAGCCAAAATATGATTCTGAATGACATTTATTAAGGATGTGTATGAACGTCCTGTGTCTGTCTATCTTGTCAAGGGAACTTGTCCTTTTTTTTTTAGATATTAGTCGTTTTATTTTTGAAACTGTGGTTACTTCTGAGGTCTTGTCTCATTTTGCATGTTAACGCTTTCCTTTTCTTCCGAGCTGTTAATCTCTTTAATCTATCCTTTCATTCCCCATCTTTCTCTTTGTTTTTTCTTTTCTACATTTCCTCCCATTCCTCAAGTCTCTGAGATACTATACATTGGACCAGTAAAAGGTAAGGCTCACAGTTTTTCTGGCTTCCTGCATTGCTTCCTTCACCTCCTCTCACCGCAGCTGGAGCAGTCACCTGACCACTGCTGACTCTGAGAAATCCCTGGCTCTGGTCACCTGACTCTCTGCTTCAGTGACACCTCAGCTGATGAGGGTCACGAGATGAGCTTTGCCCAAACACTGCGTTCCTTACATTCCCTTATCGGTTCACAGTTTTGCTGGTTGTCTTGCTTTGATAGCTCTAATCAATATAAGATTAGAGCTAAAAGACTGAAAGGTCATGTCAAGGAGCTACCCAGCAAATACTGATTATCCTTATTATTATTTTTTTATTATCAAGCTTTTATCTGGAGCTCATCATAACTGGTTATACAAACAAGCAGGCTTATGCAAAATATTATCCATATTAAAATGCATATGCACATGATGGAGGGCATGTCTGTGCACTAAACATGAGTTACTTTACTAAGGTATGTGACATATAAAAGACCTTGAACTTTTAATGCAGTTTAATCAGGAGTATTCCTACTACAAGCGCAAAAGTCTTATTTCATTGGTTCAATTGGAAGGAAGAAAGAAAAACCAGTGCTTGCAATGCAGAAAAAGACTAGCGGTAAAGTCAAATAGAAAAGTTAAGCCAAATAAACAGAGAGACCAATAACCAATGTCAAATGCAGTATGCAAATAAATGCAGGAAAAAACACTCAATATGGAAATCAGAAATAGATGCCCACCTAAGGCTAAGATTAAAGGGGTCATATGATGCAATTTAAATTTTTCCTTTCTCTTTGGAGTGTTACAAGCTCTTGGTGCATAAAGAAGATCTGTAAAGTTGCAAAGACTAAAGTCTCAAATCCAAAGAGATATTCTTTATAAAAGTTAAGAGTCAGCCACGCCTACCTAAAACGGCTCGTTCTAACACGCCCCCACATACCTACGTCACTATGTGGGAAGATTTACATAACGCCGCCCAAATGCTCATGCAAAGAAAGAAGGCGTAACTTTGATTCTCGCTGTAGTATTGTTGTCGTTGACGCAGCCATGTCGTGACGACGCTGTGTTTCGTTGTGAAAGCGAAACTACTTTGTTTGGTCTTCCAAAAGATTTTAATGAATTGTTCCAAAAATCTGTCAAATTTAAGGAATTCCAGTCTTTTGCCAGATCAGCCAGGTGAATCTGGGAGGTTATCGTGATCTGGCCTTTGTTTCCACAAACGTATGAGCGTTCTTTGTACATTCAACTGAAGCCAACAGATATATTGACTCACTTAAAATCCTTTTACACTTTTTTCCCTTTTCTTCTGCAAGTCACTTTAGGGTCAGATTGTAACTAGTATTTTTGGCTGCCATTTCTGTGGTGAATGAGAGTGACGGGTAAGCACCAGCCTAGCAACCAGCACAGGAACCATGTCGGTGGTAAAACATGCATTAATGCTTTGCTGAATCGTTCAGAGCAGTTACTGTATCAACATTTGACTCACTCTTGAAATTAAGCCAGGTTTAAGAAGCAACAATCACAGAGTTTCAGTACAACAAAAACCTAGTAATTATTAAAATCATAAAAATGTGAAATTAAAATAAATAGATAATAATAAAAACAATCAAAATACTTAATAAAAAGCATGTTCTATTTTATTTGTTTACCTGCATGTCATGTGACCATTAAAGGGATAGTTCACCCAAAAATGAAAATTCTGTCATTAATTACTCACCCTCGTGTCGTTTCAAACCCGTAAGACCTTCGTTCATCTTCGGAACACAAATGAAGATATTTTTGATGGAATCTGAGAGCTGTCTGACCCTGCATAGACAGCAACGCAACTGAAATGTTCCCAAGTCCAGAAACGTAGCAAGGAGATCTGTAATCTCCATTTTGGAGAATATCCGCTGGTCGTAAACAATGTATGCTGTTCTGTGTCAGCTGCATCACACGGATACGCTGTTTCCGTTCAGATCAAATCCCAACAACGTAGAAAACAGATCAGGCGTAACGCAGCTGACACAGAACAGCATACATTGTTTACGACCAGCGGATATTCTCCAAAATGGATTACTTTATTTTGAAAATATTTTGGGTGAACTATCCCTTTAAAGAGATCATTTCTGTCCCTTTATTGAAAGTCCGTTCCCACGAAACATTGATGCTTCAAAAAATTAATTACAAAATGTAAAAGTAGTCCATATAAATCAAACAGTTTAATCCAAGTCTTCTGAGGACATAATGATTGCTTTGCTTGATGAACAGATTTAACGAGCGCACATATTTGCATGGCATACGAGAACAAACCACATTGGTACTTGCAGAAGTTCATTTGTGCTTGCATGACACTTACTGGTTCTCTCGCATCCAGCAAACACTTTGAGCTTCTGTTTACCATATAGACCTTAGTCAGTGTAGCATCATATTTAAATTCTGACAGTAATGAAAGAGGGATAGAAATACAGTGCTCATTAGATTGCACAGTTGTTTTTAACAACGTACCAAATGTTCAGCTGAAGAAACATCATTTCAAAAGACTTTCAGTAGACCAAAAAAAACTGTTTTAGCCCATAAAACAATTGTAAACCTTTATACAGCGCATGCCACACTGTAAGTCTATCCCTCACAGTCTCGTTTTCATCTGGTTAAATTCATTATGGTGTCCACCCTGATTAAAGTCTGATTTGATGTGCGGTAAGTATGTGCATTGATCAATGTTTATATATTCAAGCCTAAATTAGATCTGTTCATCATATTAAGCAATTATATCTCTTCAAAAGACTTGGATTAAACCATTCTATTCATATGGATTTCTTTTAGTGCGTCTTTGACATTTTTAAAACATCAACGTTTTGGTTGTGTGGACTTTTAATGGAGGGACAGAGATCTCTAAGGTTTCAATAATATCTTCATTTGTGTTTTAAAGATGAACGAAAGCTTATGGGTTTGGAATGACTTAAAGTTGAGGAAATGATGACAGAATTTAAATTTTTAGCATCGGAATCTTTTAAGTTTAACATTAAAAAAACTAAATAGCATTCTTATGGTTGAAATGATCTACAAAACAAAGTCTGAATAGAGTAAGTTTGTAAGTTTGAGACAAATTAAAACATAAGAGGCTTTGTAAGCATTGTCATTGTCTAATTGATTAGTAACACAGTTTGACATTTGGCATGTGAGCGTGTGAACACTCCATCACACTCACTCAGTTATTTTATGCGTGCCTCCAGACACGAGTCTGAGCTGAAGCGTCAGTGTGATGTGTTTGTGGATTAGGATTCATTTGAACATTCCCGAGTCGAGTAAACATCCAAACGCATGCCTCAGTTCTCAGTTCCCTGAGTTTCTGAGAAGGGCTGCGAGCCTCCCTCATGTCTTTTCTCATGACCTCTGCCACCCCTCTACATGACTGAGGCCTCACACTGCCACAAAAGTGCTCTTGCTTCTGTGTTTTACTCACTCTGTGAGTGGTCGCTTGAGTGGTTAGAGAAGAATGTGTAGTGTAACTGTGTGATTTGTCTGATTTATGACAGTGGATAAACAAGTTTAAGCAGTTGACAGATGATAGTGTCTTCCCATATTTGCACAGCTAGCAGAAGTTTATTTTTGCATTGCATTATTGCTCACACAGCCTGGTTTTGGTGGTAATGTCCAAGGAAGGGCATTTTGTGTGGGCTGTCAGTACTTTAAAAGGATTCATTTGGAATGCATCTTAAATATTGAATTTGCTCCATTCACTTTTCAAGTTCTTCACTTTTTTTAAATGCAATGCATTCATTAAATTTTTTTAATAAATAAAGAATTTTTGTTGATGCCGCAGCTTAAATGATAATCTTGCTATCGTTGGTGATTTAACTTTAACTGATATTCCAAGTATTTTGTAATGTTTACAAACTTTTTCTTGCATATTTTCAATGCTCATGTGCGCTAAAAAAGGTGTAGTAACAGTTTTCACTCAGAAATTGCTAGTAAATTTCACAATTAATTGCAAGGAAACAAGTAACCCATTGAATTACACGTGAAAGTAGCAAAGCTGATATAGTTCCAATAGTCTTTGTATTGTTTACAACTAAGAAAAATATTTTTTTAAAGTGTACTTTGATTATATGTAAACTGATTAATATTATACAGTAAGTTACTAGAGGCTTGTTAAGTGTGACTGCTTCAGCTGTGATTATATTCACAATATAGCACAGCCTCATAACTATTATAAAAGTTTGCTACCAACTAAGCATTTATTAAAGACACGTACACTCATTAAAGCTTTCTTTTATTGATCTAGTTCATTAAGTGTCATCCTTTCACTAGCTCTAGTTGTGCAAACGAAGTTTATAGTTGGTCTCTGTGGGTGTTGTGCCATGACATACCGGAGAACAGCTGATACTGTAACTGTACAATATTAATTAACATCTAGGTGTCTCCGTTTAATAATAACCAAATGGAACCTGTGCAATTTGAGGTGCATATGTGGATGGGGAAAATTGCTCCAGTTGTCCTGTAGGCATTGGCTGAAGTGTTTAAAGAATGATGCTGCACTAATGGACTGAATGTGCTAATGGTGTGATAATAACAGCTGTAACGGTGCACTGAGACCCAGCTGATGCTCGGCTCCTGGTTCTCCGGGTTCATAGAGATGTCAGTCACCTCGCAGACCCCTCATGCTGCTGTTTGTGCTCTTGCAAAGTTGAAGTCTGTGTTTTAGTGTGTGTTTTCTGCATGCTGCCTTCATCTGAAATGTGCAGTCATGTGAACGAGTGAACAGCAGTTTCATGTGATTTCCAGTCACTGGATTTGGTACACATATCTGGCTAGGAGTGGGCGGGATGACAAAATCTTAATTCAAAATTCATTAAGATTCAAATAATTTGTTTAAAAAAATTTTTAGAAAATGGCTGTTTAATCTTGTGTAATATTATATTCTTACATGTTTATATTTTTATTCAGAATTTAATGGAATCAAACCAAAAAAATAAAATGATTCATAACAAATGACATCAGCGCACAAACATTATAAAGGACTTGAGTTAAAAACACAACACTCAAAACAAGGTGAATGAGAGTGACGGGTAAGCACCAGCCTAGCAACCAGCACAGGAACCATGTCGGTGGTAAAACAGGCATTAATGCTTTGCTGAATCGTTCAGAGCAGTTACTGTATCAACATTTGACTCACTCTTGAAATTAAGCCAGGTTTAAGAAGCAACAATCACAGAGTTTCAGTACAACAAACTTTAAAGCTGTTATTATTTTATAAATTGACCTTTTTTTTACTTTTTTTATATAATATGCATTTGTGTTAAACTATCTTGGAATAAATTACTTAAAACTTTAACGTTGCTTCATGAGTGTTTGTAATACAATGGCAACTTTGACATAATCTCAATACCGCCCCACCTCCTCTTTTGTAAAGTCATAGAAACTTGGATTTATTCATTTTTTTGCTATTGGAGCAAATTGGGGACGCAGAAATTATTAAAAAATGCTTTGTTTCCAGAAGTTCACCCAACTGTGACGAATTCCGTTTTTAAAAACCCCGGAAATATGAAAAGGGTCCAAAGTTGTTTTTGCAGAAAATATATATCTATCTGTTTTATATCAGTGTAATAATTCATATTTAATTCTGTGTGATATTATAATCTTATTTTATGGTTTAATGGAAGAGAACCAAAACATAAAACATTATGATTAACCTAAATTGGGAAAAAAAAGAAAAAAAAATTCACAATGGCAAGCTGCTGTTAACATATAAGACAGTATATGCACACCTCTGACTGTTGATTTCTATATAAATACGCCAGTTTGCACTTTTGCTTGAAAAGCACGAATAACCTACAGTTACACCATGTTTACAAATACTAAATCACTCTCTACTGGATGAAACATTAAAATAAACGTCATTCCACCCAGCCCTCCATCCGGCTTGTCGTGTGAATGGGGCGACGCCTGTTTTGGGTGGTTACTGATGGATGTTTCTCATTTCAGGAAGCATCTATTCTAGTCCTGGACTTTACAGCAAGACCATGACACCTACCTATGACTCTCGGGACGGCAGCCCTCTGTCCCCCACCACAGCGTGGTTTGGAGACAGTCCGCTGTCAGAAGGCAATCCCAGCATCCTCGCTGTCAGCCAGCCCATCACCTCACCCGACATTCTGGTCAAGATGTACAAACCACAGTCCCTCCTGGACAAGGCCAAGCTCAACCAGGGGTAAGCTGGGACTGATCTAGTGTGTGAAGACTAGGGTTGGGTATCGTTTGGGTTTTTTACGATACCGGTGCCAAATTGATACTTAAAAAATAAAAAATAAAAGAAAGAGGAAAAAAAAATCCCTAAAATAGGATGGATTGGCCATTATTGAGTGCTATAAACACATTTAATGTCTGTTTCATTCATACTGGACGCCAGAGGGCGCCCTTGCGCAGAAATGCCCCATGTGCATCACAGAAGGAATAGAACTCAGGAAATCCCTAATATGGATAAAGGCATTGCTATCGCTGTAACTGAGTAAACAGAAGATATAAACGTTTTGAATGATAAAACAAAGATGATAAACACTTGACTACAACAATTTATAATTTATCTGTGTTATTCAAGCCATCTTTGGTATTTTCATCATAATTAAGTATATTTATAATCCATTGCTAATCGACATAGCCTTTTTACCATATGCTTTTAACAGTATAGAACATATTCTGTGCCTCGTTCTGTGACAAGAAGCCACATCAGATCACAAAAGGAAGCAGTTGTGGAGTAAAAACGCTATAGTGTTCTCTTTTGTTGGACAACAGGTTTTGAAACGCTTCTCATTGCAAGTCATTAAAAGGGAAGTTTAGCTTTAGGCATTTTAATTTAAGAATGTTTAGCTTAGCTAGCTAGTGGTAGGCTACCTGCTGCCGTCAGAGCAAGTGTAATTACTGCATTCACGCTCTCCTCGGATGCTCTTATTTCCCGAGTTGTGCTTTTAAGTCGGAATGGACACTCGCGTTACTACAAGTAAGTGGCACGAAATCTGCGTTCTGACTCGGTTCTAGTACATACCGGTTACATGGCACCGGGTTTCGGTACCCAACCCTAGTGAAGACTCTGATTCAGGAAGGCTTGCGCTCATATTGCTCTGAATGTCTTTGTGAAGGTGGCTGGACTCCTCCAGATCACTGATGGAGCATGATGTGAAGGAGAACGAGGTTCTTCTGCTCCGGTTCAAGTACCACAGCTTCTTTGACCTCAACCCAAAGGTCAGTGTGTTTTGCATCTTAGCACTTGTAATCATATATGCATGATGCCGAATAGGACATTTCACAATCACACACGAGTTCTTAATATCAAATGAAAATCCACCGTTATGCTCCTCATGCCAGAGTCCAGTATCTCTTAAACGTATTTTATTAAATTTAGGAAATTATATTTTGCTCGTCAAACACTTTCAAATATTTTATTATTATTTTTATTCATTATTACGAAAGAGTCAAACCCAAATCCATTTAGGAGTTTTTGTTATAAAGAACATAGGTTTTTAAATAGCTTTTAATACTATTTTAACATGTTACTCGCCATGAAAATAGACAAGGAAACTGGCATGGCATTAAAACGCCAACCAACCAACTGTAGCACATATACACTGCCATTCAAACGTTTGGGATCAGTAAGATGTGTAATGTTTTTAAAGAAGTCTGCGTTTATTTGATCAAAAATACAGAGAAAAAAAAACCTGTAAATTGTGAAATATTATTCCAATTTAAAATAATGGGGTTTTCTATTTTAATAAACTTGTATTTCTGTGATGCGCAGCTGTATTTTCAGCATCATTCCTCCAGTCTTCAGTGTCACATGATCTTCAGAAATCAGTATAATATGCTGATTTATTATCAGAGCTGGAAACTGTTGCTGCTTAATATGTTTTTTTTAAACCTGTGATTCTTTTTTCAGGATTCTTTGAATAAAAAGTTAAAAAGAACAGCATCTATTTAAAATAGAAATCTTTTCGTCCCACTTTTTTATTTACTTTTTTACGATATTAAGTGGCCTTAACTACTATGTTCTTACATTTTAATTAATAATTTGGTACAATGCATTATTGTGTACATACATTTTTTTACATTGTACTTATATTTAAAAAATATCTGCATGTAAATACATATGTAATTAATTTCTGTAATTAGATATATAATTACACTGTTGACCCATCCCTTACACCTTAGCCCACCCTTAAACCTACCCATACCACCAAACCTGTCCCTAACCACCCGTATGCCACCTCAATAGCAGCAAAAGTGTACATTTTTGAGTACATTGTAGTTATTTTTATGTAAGTACATAGTAGTTAAGGCCACTTAATATAAAGTGGGACCATCTTTTCTAATAAAAGCTTTTCTAACAAAGTCTTTAATATTATTTTTTAATCAATTTAACAAATCCTTGCTGAATAAAATTATTAATTTCTTTCAAAAAAAGAAAGAAAATGACCATTTATTTCTACATTATTACCATTTTAATAAAAAATACATACTAAGATTTAGGGGTGGGAATCACCAGAGCTGATATAAATAAGGAAAACTCTCGGAATGCTGGAAATTTACATTAGAGAACTGGAACTTACCGTTATATAGGCAACTGTAAATATCCCTGTTTCGTTTGTTAAAGGGGTCACAGGTGGTCTCGCTGGAGCGGCAGGTGGAGAGTGTGGAGAGGAGTATTGTGTTCCTTAGACAGGAGCAGCTGTCTCTGCTGCATGGACTACATCTGGAGATCCTGTCCCTCCAGAAACGCTGTACAGGTGTGTGTCATGACCATTCCCACAGTACAGCCACCTGCATTTGATTTTGAGTTGTTGTACACACATGAAACAACATGCATAATTGAATTGAGCAACATTTTATTTATCATAAATCACAACTAATTCGATGTCATTCCAAAAATAATGTTGGTACACAATCTAATTGAGTTGCCGTGCCCTAGATTTTAGGGGTGGGAATCACCAGAGGCCTCACGATACGATATTATCACGATACTTGTGTCACGATACAATTTTATTGCGATTTTAAATATATTGCGATATTCTGTGATATATAGCAATGTATTACCTTTTTCCAACTTCAAATTATGTCCCCAAAGGAAAACTTTGTCAACATCTGTTTTAACTAAAAATAAACATTTCTCAGTTTGTTTTTCTCACTTCAGTTGTATTGTTGCAGTGCAAAATGGGATTGTCAAGCAGACAAACTGACCAACACTTTCATGAAAACCTGTCATAAATGCTGTATGCACCTGGCAAACTCAACTATTTGTATTACAGTCTAGTCTAGTCCACCTTAATTAAATGTAAACAGGTATGCACTGCTGTGCTACTACAGGTATTTTGAACAGTGCAATCTGAAATTGTACTAAAAAGTTGTGCAGACCCTTCAGCAATTGGGGCATTTGAAAGTAAATTACTGTTAAATTTTAATTAAATAAAATAAAACATGTAGTCTTATATCTAGGGATGCACCGAAATGAAAATTCTGGGCTGAAACGGAAACCAAAAATGCTTTGTAATGATTATTTATTATTTTATTAAATAATATTAAAGTATTGATAGCTGTGTAAATACTGTCATACTAACAGCTGTCTGAATTATTTTGGTTGATTGTAATCTATTACATACCTTTCTATCAAAGTTATCTGACATTATCAAGCTGAATTTGTTCTGACACAGTTTAACTCTGAGTTCTTGTTATATTTTATTACCATTTTCTAAACTATAATGAATAAACTGTGATAATGTGAGAAATTTTGAAGGTGTCTGAATATATTTTGGTTTGACTGTACATTATAACCAACTAACATTATACAGACTCTTTTGGTTTCTGTACCCAATATTGAAAAAATGTACAAATGCAATGAAAATATCGGTATCGGTACTCGGTATCGGCAAGTACCAAAAATAAAAGTATCGGTATCGGGCGAGTACTGGAAAAAGTAGTATCGGTGCATCCCTAGAAAAAAACTCAACACCACCATCTAGTGGATTGTAAAGAAATTTATTTTATTATTCTACCAAATAGTATAATAAAAGATCGATACTTGGCGTCCGTGTATCGATACAGTATTGCCGTGGAAAATATCGCGATACTATGCTGTATCGATTTTTTTCCCCCACCCCTACTAAGAATATAAGTGCACCTTAGGAAACATTATAAAATATTGCATTTCATGACCCATTTAATGTTTTTAGTTTTATATAATCAGGTTTCGATGTGTGCATTATGGTCACCCGTAAGCCTCACAGAGGGATCTACACACTCATTTTATCAGGACGGTGTGATGAAAGTGGTGTTGTGGTGTCGTGTTTTTAACCCTCTCCTGACCCCTACAGTATGATGCCATCAGGGTGAACCAGCTGTATGAGCAGGCCAAGTGGGCCATCCTGCTGGAGGAGATCGAATGCACCGAGGAGGAGATGATGATGTTCGCTGCCCTGCAGGTACGTGTGTGTCCGAGCCACGGCAGAATTTATGCCAACGCTCTGTCTGTTAGGATTGCTGTGTAAGCCCGCCGTTTGACAGTTTGCAGTCTTCACTCGGGTCCTCTGGCCCTGTTAATGAATTGGATGGGCTCTGTGCCTGACTGCGTAGCGTCTGCAGCATGCAAACGTTTGGCTGCTGCGTTTGTTTTCACTGGCCCTTTGGCCAGCGATGACCCTGCTATTTCAGACCCTCATAAATGTTGAGTGACAACACCTCAGGACGCCTCACTGTCTTCACATCATGTAAATATAGAGCGGGCGTCTGTTCGAGGGAGGTGGGACACGGGAGACCACCCGGAGTCTCCAGCCTAAGGAGGGGTGTGGGTTGCTCCAGCAGGGTTTTGTGGAGGTGTATCAGAGGTGTCGACTTTCTCCGTTTACGTACAGCGAGTTTAAATTAGTCAGGTCTGTCCCTCCCCATCAGTCCACACCACGTTCAGTCAGAGGATACGAGTCTGGCTCTGGACCTGCACCGTGTCTCTGGGTAGAAGAGCTCAGCGCCGTCAAACATCAGCAGCTCTAAGTTTAGCCAGCTTTATAGCGAAGCTGTTAACTGTTGAGAGAAATCGGTGTGTCATTCACCAACTAACTACTCTTATCTGAGCAGAGAGATGGTGACATGAAAATGCCTTTAGCCTACATTTTGAAAGCGGAGCTGTCATCAGCGTACAGTGAAATATGCTTCTGTAGTCCAACTGTTCGCTGTAGCACCATGGGGATCGTTTAGTAGAATGAGGTCACAGGCTTTAAACTCATACATAAACAGTATTATAGTTAACTAAAACCATACTTAAAAAAAAAATGTTAGTATCATTGAAATGTTATAGGCAACATTTCTCATTTTTTGGTGTACTAAAATAATTTGATCTAAAACTGAAACTGAAAAAAAAAAAATATATATAGAGAGAGAATAATAATTTAAGAATAATAATAAAAAAAGACCAATCAAACAGCAAAATTACTAACATCCTTAACTGAAATTTAAATGAAAAAATATACAATAAATATATTCAAAAATGTATTTCTGAAAATATTTTATTTAGAATTAAAAACCCTTTCAAAATTAAAAAAATATATATATATAGTAGTGTATCAGTGATGCTAAAATAACACTTATATGAAAAATGATGTTCATCCCGTAAATAATGCATTAGCTTTTTAATTTTGCCTTTATTTTGTAAGAGTTTTGCCGTTTTTGCAGCATGTGTGAATACAATTTAAAGACAATTCATGAAAATTATAGAACAAATATGAAATAATTGTTAAATTTCACAAGTGCATTAAAGTTTAAAACCTAAAAAAACCCAAAAACATTTAAGATGAACATTTGCATTTACCAGTTCAGTTTTATTTAACTGGGAAAATCATCTAGTAACAGTGTATCTTGCAAAGTGTGGGACAGAAACGCGTGTTTGTCCATCTCAGGAGGTCAAAGTAAATATTTTATTCGTTTTATTTTCCATGTGTTTTGTAAGAGTTTTGCAGCCCTGAAATTTAGGACACGTGTGAAAGGCTAAATAAATGTTACATTTCACAAATACAAACAAGTTCTAAATAAATACATTGTAACAATTACAAATTCCGTTTTATTTAATTGTGAGAATGCTAGATGTGGGAAAGGGTTAAGTATTACTGAGTAGTTTACGATATTAATATGATGAATTAGTAAATGGCAACACCGTGTTTAGTGTGATTGTTTTTATTTGCAGTACCACATCAACAAGCTGTCCATCATGTCTTCAGACAATCACATGAACAACAGTGAGAAGGAGGTCGATGAGGTTGATGCAGCTCTGTCAGATCTGGAGATCACTCTCGAGGGAGGAAAGACGTCCAACACGCTGGTACTGCAGCACATGCACTCTCATGCAATAATAATGCTTACTACTTCCGTTACAGCCACACACACACCTGTAGGCCTTTATCACACTTCTGCATTCGAAAAGCGGAAGCTTCATATATTAGCATGAAATAACTTCCGCTGTAGCCTGTGTCACTGCAGTGCCTATAGCATGGGATGGTTGGGATTTATTGACATAGTTCATCACCGATACTTCATCTAAACACACCAACCAGGTATGATGAAACAAAGAATAATGGTGTAATGTTATTCTGACGCATATTTCATCATTTAAAAGGGAAGCACTCATGCCTGCTCTATGTGTATGTGCAGTACTTAAGAGTACAAGTGTTGTTGTTGTTTTATCAAAATGCAAGGATGTAATACAAACAACATCATATTAAAGAGCGTTAGAATTAGACAACGTTATACATCACATAAAACATTAATTATGAGGAAAGACTGTACAAATTAAAAATAATATTCACATTGCTTGCATGCACTTACGATCTCCAGTATCTCATTATTATTCAGAAATACATGTTTTGATCATTTTAAACAAGTGCAATGATTTGATAGCATTACATTGCAGGCAGAATTGGATATTAATCATAATAAACATGCTACGATAAAAATGAAATCAAAACAGTGTTTTCTGAATCTTCCTCTGGCTGTAACATGAGCAGCGTGTAGCTGGTATGCAGACTGTGACAATAAAGACATCATTATACCAAAAACTGTATAACTTTATATGTGTATGTGCAGTACTTAAGAGTACAAGTGTTGTTGTTGTTTTATCAAAATGCAAGGATGTAATACAAACAACATCATATTAAAGAGCGTTAGAATTAGACAACGTTATACATCACATAAAACATTAATTATGAGGAAAGACTGTACAAATTAAAAATAATATTCACATTGCTTGCATGCACTTACGATCTCCAGTAAAGTATTACAAATTGAAGTCATTCAAATAAAGGATTATTATTCAGAAATACATGTTTTGATCATTTTAAACAAGTGCAATGATTTGATAGCATTACATTGCAGGCAGAATTGGATATTAATCATAATAAACATGCTACGATAAAAATGAAATCAAAACAGTGTTTTCTGAATCTTCCTCTGGCTGTAACATGAGCAGCGTGTAGCTGGTATGCAGACTGTGACAATAAAGACATCATTATACCAAAAACTGTATAACTTTATTAATACACTTTGTGTTCTCAGGGTGACATCACATCCATTCCTGAACTGGCCGACTATGTGAAAGTCTTCAAGTGAGTTGAAGGATTGAAATATTATGTTGAGCCTTAATTTGTGTAAGGCAGGGGTGCCCAAACTCGGTCCTGGAGGGCCGGTGTCCTGAAGAGTTTAGCTCCAACCACAATTAAACACACCTGAACCAGCTAATCAAGCTCTTACTAGGCATACTAGAAACTTGAAGGCAGGTGTGTTGAGGCAAGTTGGAGCTAAACTTTGCAGGACACCGGCTCTCCAGGACCGAGCTTGGGCACCCCTGGTGTAAGGCAAATAAATAAAACAAAGCCTATTGCCATATACAGTGTGTATATATATATATATATATATATGTGTGTGTGTGTGTACTGGTTTATATATCCTGGTGGGGACTTAAACCGGACTACACACAGACTCATGGGGACTCCTGTCACGGTGGGGACCTAAATTGTGGTCCCCACGGGTACAAAAGCTTATAAATCATACAGAATTAAGTTGAAAATCTAAAAATGCAGAAAGTCTCCTGTGAGGGGTAGGTTTAGGGGTAGGGTTGGTGTAGGGCAATAGAATATATACGGTCTGTACAGTAGAAAAAATATTACCTGTAAAGCCACTTCAGAACTGTTTTGCATCTCCGAGCAGCACAGCAGTGTTTCGTCTCTGAATGAATTTGTGTTTAGAAGGAATTGGTGAACTAATGAGTCAATGGCCTGTTCATAAAGAGAGCCATTTACTTCATTCCTGAATGAATCAGTTGTTAGAATGACTCAAAGACTTACTCCATTAAGACATTTACTGCCACCTACTGACAGATTCTTCTTTAGAGGATAATTTCATTGAAAAATATTTTCATATTAATCAAAAATATGAAAATTAAGATCTATATTAATAAAAAATAAAAAAAACGAATTAAAGGATAGTTCCCCCAAAAATTAGAAGTGAAAACATTTCTTCCTAAAGCTACTTTTTGTAAAGTCTGTTTGATGCGTTTCTCATTTAACTCGATAATGGCTTTAAAGTATCTTTTGGGGGTCATTTCTAAGCCAAATTTGTTGTGTGAATAATTTGTGATTAATTAATCGCCACATCGTGTAATTAATTTGATTAAAAATGTTAATGACTTGACAGCCCTAATATATATATGTACAGTATATAGACTGTCTATATAGTCGTCTATTAAAGTGTAAATGTAGTCATTTCCACAACACTAGTGGCAGCAAAATTAAATAAATTTAATTTAATTAATTGGCTCTGCCAATGGTGATAATTCCTGCCTGTTTGCCCGGAGGTTTCAGTTGGAAGTGGTTGAAATGCTAGTGGCACAGATATTACACACTACAACTTATTATAATGTGCTTGTATTCTGCTATATTGAATATTGAAATAGTGGACGTCACAGAGCTGTTGTCTAACTTTTACTTGCACCTCAGACCAAAGAAACTCACTCTGAAAGGATACAAGCAGTACTGGTGCACGTTCAAGGACATCACAATCTCCTGCTACAAGAGCCGCGAGGAGGCCCACGGCACGCCGGCGCACCAGATGAACCTGAGAGGTGACCGCTCGCGACAGACACGGTCAGAAACGCTGTTTGTTTACCACATCAGCACTGCATCTCATCCGCTGTTTCTCTGTAGGCTGTGAAGTCACACCAGATGTGAACATTTCCGGTCAGAAATTCAACATCAAGCTGCTAATTCCGGTAGCAGATGGTATGAACGAGATCTGGCTGCGGTGTGATGCTGTGAGTGAGACACTTCTATTGATTGCCACACATTATTGTGCAATAAATCACCTCACATCTTCATTTGTCTTTATAAGGAAAAGTAGCACGTTACTTGACTTGCTACTTAAAAAAGTAATTATACAAACTCATCAGGGTTATTATAGTTAACTAAAACTGAAACTATAAAAAATTGCTACTTGAAAAATGTAAATAAAAATCTCAGTGATACTAAATGAACACAGGCACTCAGAGGTTCAAACTCCTTTCCCTGGCCTTCAGGAGAAGCAGTACGCTCAGTGGATGGCAGCTTGCCGTTTGGCCACCAAAGGGAAGACGATGGCAGACAGTTCCTACAACTTAGAGGTCCAGAACATTCTGTCCTTCCTGAAGATGCAGCACATGAATCCTGACCCTCAGATCATAGAGCCCATCACCATCGACATCAACCCTGAGTGTCTGGTGTCTCCACGATACCTGAAGAAGTACAAGAACAAGCAGGTAAATGAGAGATCAGTCTGCCGCTGCAGCGCAGAATACAGACCGACACTGACGGCAGAGAGCTGGAGAGAGACCTATGCAACAATACATAGTAATAAACAGCAATATTTTACGTTTTTTTTTTCTTTTCTAGTAACCCTTAAGCACATACAGTACCAAATAAGTGAAGTCAACAAATTGTTAAAGCGGAGTCATGAAAAAAAAAATATTTGTGGAAATCAAAACATCATTGCCATTTTTGCTACAGATGTTTAAATCGGGTTCAGATATCTCTCTTAATGCTGAAACTGACATACTTGGTCTTTAGCTTCATTGGCAAATAAAAAGCACATTAAAACCACATTATTGTGCAATAAATCACCTCACATCTTCATTTGTCTTTATAAGGAAAAGTAGCACGTTACTTGACTTGCTACTTAAAAAAGTAATTATACAAACTCATCAGGGTTATTATAGTTAACTAAAACTGAAACTATAAAAAATTGCTACTTGAAAAATGTAAATAAAAATCTCAGTGATACTAAATGAACACAGGCACTCAGAGGTTCAAACTCCTTTCCCTGGCCTTCAGGAGAAGCAGTACGCTCAGTGGATGGCAGCTTGCCGTTTGGCCACCAAAGGGAAGACGATGGCAGACAGTTCCTACAACTTAGAGGTCCAGAACATTCTGTCCTTCCTGAAGATGCAGCACATGAATCCTGACCCTCAGATCATAGAGCCCATCACCATCGACATCAACCCTGAGTGTCTGGTGTCTCCACGATACCTGAAGAAGTACAAGAACAAGCAGGTAAATGAGAGATCAGTCTGCCGCTGCAGCGCAGAATACAGACAGACACTGACGGCAGAGAGCTGGAGAGAGACCTATGCAACAATACATAGTAATAAATAGCAATATTTTACGTTTTTTTTTCTTTTCTAGTAACCCTTAAGCACATACAGTACCAAATAAGTGAAGTCAACAAATTGTTAAAGCGGAGTCATGAAAAAAAAAATATTTGTGGAAATCAAAACATCATTGCCATTTTTGCTACAGATGTTTAAATCGGGTTCAGATATCTCTCTTAATGCTGAAACTGACATACTTGGTCTTTAGCTTCATTGGCAAATAAAAAGCACATTAAAACTATAATATTCATGATGCTAAATTTATATTGAGGATAAAATATTTGTAAATATACATGATTTTTCAGTTTTTATATGGATTTCTGTATTTTTCAACCATGAACCGCATAAATCCATGTAATAAATGGCTGCGTTTTCAAATAAAATACATTTAAAATGCATGGATTGCTTGTAACAGAACTGCATGGCACCCTTTGTGTCTCAGCCAGGGTTCAAAATGAACACAAATGTGAGTAAAAATCCCAGCTGTGCAGTTGCTTTCTTTGTGAAGCACAGCACTGTGTTCATTTACACGCGAGCAGCTCACGAGCTGATGTTTTCAGCATCTCAAAGCGGCTCGTTTCACAGTAAAGCCTGCTCCATGTGAACTCCGTCTTTGCAATTGCTGTAAGTTTAGGTTGCTTATGTGCATTTGAAAATGTAACATGAACCAAAAACTCTCCCAGATTTGTAGAGAGAATTGTTTATAAATATTAGTATTTTAACTTTACTGTTGTCTTATTTTTAGTTTACTGTACAATAGCAATAACAATGTTTTTTTATTGAATATATATATATGTTTTTAATAATAGTTATATTGATTTTCCTTTTTTTTCCTTAGCTGATCGCATGCCTACATACTCTGTGTTCATTTACACGCGAGCAGCTCACGAGCTGATGTTTTCAGCATCTCAAAGCGGCTCGTTTCACAGTAAAGCCTGCTCCATGTGAACTCCGTCTTTGCAATTGCTGTAAGTTTAGGTTGCTTATGTGCATTTGAAAATGTAACATGAACCAAAAACTCTCCCAGATTTGTAGAGAGAATTGTTTATAAATATTAAATATTAGTATTTTAACTTTACTGTTGTCTTATTTTTAGTTTACTGTACAATAGCAATAACAATGTTTTTTTATTGAATATATATATATGTTTTTAATAATAGTTATATTGATTTTCCTTTTTTTTCCTTAGCTGATCGCATGCCTACATACTAAATAAAGATCAAATATTAAATACATATCACATTTTAAATATCACCAAGTCCTACTTGGTAAATGGTAATAGTAAGAAAAAATATTCTTAAAAAAAAAATGTACAAAACCATCTTTTTCTAGCACTCATCATGATACGGATATGCAGAGTGTCCAGTGAAATTTCTCAGAACAGTGTAGTTTTTGATTGAAAAACAAGAGTAAAGTGAAAGTATGTAGGGAGGGCTCCTGTGTGGGAGTCGACAGACTTTGTGTCTCAGCCAGGGTTCAAAATGAACACAAATGTGAGTAAAAATCCCAGCTGTGCAGTTGCTTTCTTTGTGAAGCACAGCACTGTGTTCATTTACACGCGAGCAGCTCACGAGCTGATGTTTTCAGCATCTCAAAGCGGCTCGTTTCACAGTAAAGCCTGCTCCATGTGAACTCCGTCTTTGCAATTGCTGTAAGTTTAGGTTGCTTATGTGCATTTGAAAATGTAACATGAACCAAAAACTCTCCCAGATTTGTAGAGAGAATTGTTTATAAATATTAGTATTTTAACTTTACTGTTGTCTTATTTTTAGTTTACTGTACAATAGCAATAACAATGTTTTTTTATTGAATATATATATGTTTTTAATAATAGTTATATTGATTTTCCTTTTTTTTCCTTAGCTGATCGCATGCCTACATACTAAATAAAGATCAAATATTAAATACATATCACATTTTAAATATCACCAAGTCCTACTTGGTAAATGGTAATAGTAAGAAAAAATATTCTTAAAAAAAAAATGTACAAAACCATCTTTTTCTAGCACTCATCATGATACGGATATGCAGAGTGTCCAGTGAAATTTCTCAGAACAGTGTAGTTTTTGATTGAAAAACAAGAGTAAAGTGAAAGTATGTAGGGAGGGCTCCTGTGTGGGAGTCGACAGACGGCTCCTGTGTGCTGCTGCTGGTGTCGTCTTACAGTGGCCCTGGACTCGATCCAGCTCCTGTGATGCTGGGGGGATGGTGGGCTTCCTGTCCTCACATCTCACTCGCTCCCCCAGCAGCTTAACGCTGGGAGAAACTTTGAGGAGATGGGGTGGGGTCTTCAGAAACAGGCGGGAAAAAATACAGGAAACAAGCCGTGCCTGGGAATGTGGAGAGGCGGTCCGGGAAGAAGACAGTAGTTTGTTTGTGAGAGCGACGTCAGAGTACGGATGATTTCTGAACGCGTTTATTCCTGCGTTACAAGCTCAATTTATTTTCTTCAGAGGCTTCCTCTGGGATTTTACTCCCAGAGGACGTGGGTCAGTAAGCACTAGGATAGATGACTTTCTCACTTAACTTCCAGACTCCACAGGATCAGGAAGGCGGATGTTGTCATCCAAATGGTGGGGAATTTCAGAGGTCTCTCTACTGTAGTGCTCTTGGGTTTTAACCGTGTGTGGCGTCACCTTGTGGAGTCAAGGGTGTATAGTTTGGAGTGTGATGAAAACATGGGTTAATCATAAACTACAGCTCAGCCAAGAACTTCGAATCCATTTTATATGTTTAAAATCCTACACTTTCTAGACTTATAAAAATGTACTGATTTGTGTTCAGTACAAAAGATGTCATTAAAGAGTATTTCTTTATTTATTTTATTTGGAGCTTAATGGACAAACCAGAAGAAATAAACATAAAAAACAGCTAGATGACAGCAGAATTGGTTGGTTTGACCAAGCCTTGTCTGAAAGTAATTTCTGAAAGCTTCAAGTTTGAACGTTTTTACTTGGAGAAGTCAAAGTCAGACAGACCAATACAAACTACTTCAGACCCCATTAGAGTCCTCTACTGGTTGTTGATTGCATTGCTAACATGTTGCTGGCATGTTAGATTTTGTTAGCATGCATTAACATATTTTTGTGTTGCATAGTTTTACAAACTGCTTTCATTTTTTTACACATTTTAGCATGTTTCCAACGTGTTTTAGCACGTTGCTGAAATGATTTATGTTGCTAGCATGTTTATTTTTATTTATTTTTTGCATGTTTAGCATGTATGAAATAAAATGTGGCTAGCATGTTCCTAGCATGCTTTAGCACATTGCTAACAAGTTTTAGCATGATTTAGCAAGCTTTACAATAATAGCATATAGTGCTGGGCGGTATGACCAAAAATTTATATCACGGTATTTTTTCAAAATGATACCGGTTTCACGGTACATGACGGTATTTTTTTTTCCATGCATGACCGGGTGTTAACAATATTTTCTGCTGATTGAGAGGAAATACTGCAGTATATTGACTTAGAATGCCCTATTTTACTGTCATGATGAGAGAATATTGTCAAAAAATACCACACTAAATAGTGACTAAACACGCCCCCTTTTAATACATGTTACCCAGGAGTCACTCTCATTTATAATCACGGCATCGTCTGATAAAATCAACATGCATCTACACTAAAGAGCGGCTATGCGGTTGTTTTGGCTAGATTACTCTTTTGTCTCGTGCAGCGCACTGCCTGCGTCTGAGTAACAAACTAAAACAACAACAAACAAAAAAGTGCATGTGATATTAACAGACGAACTAGGCTCATATTTATAATTCCACACAATCAGTAAGCTACAGGTGCTAGGAAACGCTGTTTTGTACTCATTTATTGAGGAGTCGGCTGCGGTGCTTCTCTGCCGCTCACTGCACAGAACAGACGCCGAGAGAGGCGACACTTCTCCGGGAAAGCCAGACCTCGCGCTCGCGGGACAGCACTGGAGAAATCCTCCAACTGAACCATAGCTAAGCTTTATCCAGAGAAGTCGCTAGGTTTGTCAGTATGAATATTCTCTGGAAAAAAGCCGCTAAAAGGGTCTGAAAGTTGCTAAATCTAGTGCTAAAGTCGCGCTCGTGTGTGTGTGAGACGCGGGAGCTGACGGCAGCGGGCGCTGGATATTTGTGGAGGTCAATGTGGATATTGTGGATGAGTTCTTCTGTGTCGTCACGTTCTATTAGTTCTACAGCTTCAGTTTCTGAACTTTCACGCTTAGTAACACATACAGCTGTTTCCTCACCACAGTGCAACAGTGAAAAGGGACCCCTTTCAAACAGTGTCGCGTTCCCAACGTTGTTTAAGTGACATTTCAAAAAAGTTCATATCATAACAAAAATAAACACCAGTATTCGGTATGAACCGGTATACCGCCCAGCACTAATAGCATACAATAACTCTTTTCTATAAGAGGTATTAAGGGTTTGACCCACTCATTGAAAGTTTATGGAAATGTGGACCTGTTTGGAAGTCTGATACTGGAATTCCGAAAGAAAAGGGTTTCCCGTTAGAAAAGATACAGAGTCAGAACTAGAGGTCTGCTACCCTCTCTGCTAGGTCTGAATGTTTAATGAATAGCTTCGGGTTCGGGTCGGGCTCGGGTTTATAGCTAAACTAAAACTATATGCAGGCTACGCTGCTTTCATAGACGCACGCACACACATTATAGCACACGACAACACAGCACGGAAACTTTTATTAGTAAAATAGCTTCGACAGGCTACTGACTCGCAACGTATTTCGGGTTCGGGTCTGGTTCGGTCTCTAAATTTAACTGTGCCGCTCGGGTCGGGTCGGGTCTGAGGATCTCGGGTACGGGCCGGGTTCGGGCTTCACTTTAAAGCCCGTGCAGACCTCTAGTCAGAACATCCTGAAGGTCTGTGCCAAGTTTGCTGGTCATAGCTTAAAAACTCTATAGGATGAGTTAGAAATGTAGTCTCAGAAGAATGATAAGTTTAGTAGATCAGCATGTTGGCTGTTAGATATTTTAAACGAGTCAGTCTGACATCAGTGCAAAAACAGCTTCGACTGGATTGTCCCATTTTGATCAGCGAGGATGAATCTACAGCTCGATCACCCCAGTTTGCAGACTACAGTAGTCTTCTGCTCAGTGTCAGATCAACAGTATAGCAGGATCTCTGCTAGTTGACACATTTCTACTTCTGCACAATATGTACAGTCAATCCGGTCGGGTCTAATGTGATCCCAGTGCAGTGTGTTCCTCTGATCTCTCCTGTCCATCTGATCCTCGTGGTCCTCCCCTGCTGTATACTCACATGCACACCCTGCCCTTTTCTCTCTCTGTACATTAACGGTTGTTTTGATTCTGTTATTCTGCTTGTTTGCTGCTATATTCATTTATTTGCTTTTCCCTTGTTTCCTCTTCCTGTTTCCACCCTCCTCAGCCAGGCTTTGTCAGGGACTTGGTAAGTCACTCGTTTGACGGCTAGTAAATGTCCATGACTCACTAACACTGGTGCTGTGTCTTACTCCAGAGATCCTCCCATTAACCACTTTACCGTTTATAGCTGTAGCTCACCCCAAAGCTCACATTTCAACTGATTAAACATTTAAGATCATGTTTTGAGTCACTGGTGTCTCCTCCAGAACAGCTGTCTGCCTGAATGCCGTTAAAAGTCAAATTATGTGTAAGCTCTCATGTGGTGGATATTTTGGAGAACTATTCAAATGAATAGAAGCAGCTTGTAGTCTCATGACCTTGAGGCTTTTAATGTCATATTAAACCGAAAATCTGTCAGCCCAGTTTATCGTTTTAAGCATGATTATATCCCAAAATATATTATCTTTCACAATTATTTTGTTATAATAATTTAGATGACACAATGCAGTTTTCTACGGAGCCCCTAAAAGGACATGGTGATGATAGTTGACGTTCCCCTGAGAACTTTTGAATTTGTTGGCAAACTTTTGGCACTCCCCAGATGAACTTTGTGTTCGCTTGAAAAACGTTTGTGGTGGAAAGAATGAGGTGTGAGGAAAAACTGTATTTCATTGCTTTTGGAAAGAATGCAAAAGTGAATGGAATAGCTAGAGTTTGCTAGAGAGAGCAAATGTGAGAGAACGTAAAGTTTCTCGGGGAAACGCAATAGTTTTGCGAGAGAACAAAGTTTCTCGGGGGAATGCACATTTTTTGCGAGAATATAAAATTTATTGGGCGAATGCAATAGTTTTGCAAGAAAATGGAAATGTTTTGTGAGAGAACGTAAAGTTTCTTGTGCAAATGCAATAGTTTTGGAAGGGAATGCCCAGTAGTTTGCGAAACAACTCATAGTTTCTCAGGAGGACACGGTACTTTTGCGAGCAAATGCAAAAGCATTGAAATACATTTGTGACCCTGGACCACAAAACCAGTCATAAGTGTCAATTTTTACATCATCTGAAAGCTGAATAAATTAGCTTTTGGTCGGATGTTATTTTGGTACTTTTGATTATTTGTCTGAGATACAACTATTTGAAAATCTGGAATCTGAGGGAGCAAAAAAAAAATCGAAATATTGAGAAAATCGCCTTTAAAGTTGTCCAGATGAAGTTCTTAGCAATGCATATTACTAATCAAACATTCAGTTTTGATATATTTACGGTAGGACATTTACTAAATATCTTCATGGAACATGATCTTTACTTAATATCCTAATGATTTTTGGCATAAAAGAGAAATGTATAATTGTGACCCATACAATGTATTGTTGGCTATTGCTACAAATATCCCCCAGCGACTTAACACTGCTTTTGTGCTGCAGGGTCACTTTTTTTTCCCTCCCATCTCATTTTTTCCCCATCGCCATGTCCTCCTATGGGTCCTCTGTAGTTTCTACTATAATCAACACATTTGTCTAATAGGATGTTTAAAATCTTATGGAAATTGTTTTTTGAAAAGGGCAAGCGTTTCATTGACTGACCCTTTCAGGAAGTTTATAGCGTTTATCTGCTCTGAAAGAAGCTTTCATGAGGCAAGTAACTGGTCTGTGGGAGACTCCAGTGACGTCACTCATTTTCTTCTTACGTGAAATGTTTCATGTTCTGGGGAAACGGGGACTAAACGACGGTAGCTGGGATTGCAGCGGCTTCTGTCAGTGTATGTTATGCCGCATGTATAGCAGATCATAAGGGATGCTTGAACACGCTGTAACAACTCGTGTGTTCACTGTGATATTTGTGGTGATTGAATTCAGCATATCATATTGATGTTTCTTGTGTTACATTCTTCTCTGGGCTCGTTTCCTGATGACACTGTGTCCATGTGCTCACTCTGACCTATTAGTTATGATGTTACAGCACTTGTGTATTAATGTTCACATATGCATTATTCTCAGATTTCGGCCCGTATTCTGGAAGCCCATCAGAATGTGGCTCAGATGAGCCTTATTGAGGCCAAGATGCGCTTCATACAGGCCTGGCAGTCCTTGCCAGAGTTTGGAATCACACATTTTCTTGCCAAGTGAGTGTCTAAACCTGACATTTCTGTCTCTCGGATATCTTGATTTAATGTTTGTGTGCCAATAAAACACATGTCCTTTTTACAATTCACAGCTCATTCCGGTTTTAACATTTAACTCACTGTCATGTTGTTCCAAACCCGTACGACTTTTTTCTTCTGTGGTGTAATTATTCTTCCCCTCATTTCCTTATGTCTTCATATTTAATTTCCTCTCATTGCACTTTTGTTGTCTTTTCACAAAATCTGCTCGGATAAACACTGAGCCTGTCTTTTTCTGTACTTCTGTTGGTAATTGTTAAATTTCTTCATACTAGGTTCCAGGGGGGCAAGAAAGACGAGCTGATTGGCATCACCTACAACAGACTGATCCGTATGGACTCCAGCACAGGAGACGCCATCAAGACCTGGCGCTTCAGCAACATGAAGCAGTGGAACGTCAACTGGGAGATTAAGATGGTGAGATGCTCTATTTTTTTGGATGTTGTTGATTGTTGCTAATGGTTATGTTGCTATGAACGAGGCTCCATGTTAACGGTTTCATCAGTTAAATGGCCTAGTAACATAATTAAGGCCATTTGTTACTATGGCTTATGCTTGTTCTGATTGCAGAAGATCTGCTGGTCTTATCTGACATACTGTGATTCTGAGTCAAGTAATACTATGTGTTGCAATATATAGTAAAAACAGCTCAGTTTTATTCAGAGATTCAAACGGAGCAAAAATATGCAATTTAGTGCAGATGCTGATATATTTCTATGATGAAATTCTGATTCTTGTGATGTAAATCAGTGAGATGTGTATAACAGTACAGCAGATGCTGACATAAAGTTATCTGAATATCAGTCGTCTCTATATCTCCAGTAATCTGTCTCAGTGAGATGAGATTGAAATGTTCCACACATATAATGCAGTGATTGAGAGCTGAAGAAATAAAGGCTCCTCAGAAGATGTGAGATGTTCTGGAGGCTTGTGAAGATCATTCCTCCGCTGAGGAACAGTGAAAGTAAAGCTTCTGGAAACAAACGCTCCTCAAAAGATCCTGAGGATCAGATTTGAGACTCTAAAACATGATTGATGGAGAATCAAGTAAAGCTGAGCTGCTTCAGTCCAGTAAGTGTTCATCTGGAGATATTACTGACGTTATTCTGACCTTTACTTGATCAAAATCAGTCAAGATCTGACAGCAGAAAGACTCGAGCTGAAGCTGGACGTTTGTACAGTTACACTAAAAGAGCTTTGACTGCAACTCTAAACTATCAATCAGAGACAGAAGACATGAGGAGATCGAGTGTGAAACAGCTTTAACAGCCACGTTTTCATCATGTTGATCATTTAGAGGCTTTATAGGTTTAACATGTAAAAACGGACACTCATCACCTTGAACCCAAGATCAGCCGCACTCATCAGCATCTGCTCTGCTCTCACGCAGGTGACGGTGGAGTTTGCGGACGAGCCCAGTCTGGCGTTCATCTGTGCCGAGGTGGACTGCAAAGTGGTGCACGAGTTCATCGGCGGCTACATCTTCCTGTCCACGCGTGCCAAGGACCAGAACGAGTCTCTAGACGAGGAGATGTTCTACAAGCTGACCAGCGGCTGGGTCTGAGCGCCACAACACTTCATCCTGCTACTTTCACACTTCTTCTTCTTTCTTCTTCTCTCTCTCTCTCTTTAACCACTCCATCGTGGCTGCATCATAATTGTTTGAAAACTGATTTTTTTTGTAATTCTGTTTATGCTTCCCTCCAGAAGTGATGTGAGATGAAGCATTAGTAGCTGACCGCTATATATGACCTTTGACCCTCAATAGAAATACGCCAGCTTTGTGCACCGCCGAAATGCCAATTATTTATTTGTCACTAATTTACGTGGTCTCTCTGGGTAGCTGTCGAATGTGCGGTGCTCGTTTGTGCCTATTAATCTGTAATGATAACTGTCGCATTAAAGCGACGTTATAGAGACACTAGAAGGAAATGTTACACTAGCTTTAACGCTGCCGCATCTGAACGCTCTCGACCGGTGAGTAGATGACACTACACTTCAGCTCGGCAGTCTTTGGTCAAAAACCCAATCAGTTTGGTCCTTTCTAAGCACTTGGAAGATAAGCTGTCACTTGAAGGTTCGTGTGTTCAACACTACATTACATGTAATGAGATGGATATTTTTTTACACTTTGAAGGAGAAGAGTCATCCACTTTTTTTTTGTAGCAACATAGGAGAACGTTTATGAATCTGTGGCTCCACAGTCTGCTTTTGAAGGTCATTATTGATTGATTTCACGTTTCAAGTTTCTTTTTATTATGAAGTCTGTTATTTTATTCATCATGCTTTATTGTGAACCAGTATAGTATTATTCAAAAGCGTTTATGTAATACGCACCAGCGATAGGTCACAAACCATGCAATTTCCTTTTCTTTTTTTCTTTTCAAAATGAAGGATCGCTAAATGAAGTATTCGATTATTTTTTTTTGTATCTAATGTAAAAAACACAGGTTTAAAAAAAAAAAAAAACATTGTATAGTTATTTTGTTGCTGATTTTTTTCTGTCATTTTTGGAAGTGTATTTTTTCCAGAAGAGAGGAGAAAAGCCATTTTTTTGACATTTACGGATTGGTGCCTGACGATCTTAAAGACTTTTAGAAATATATATATATAAGTGCATATGAAGAAGTGTGGAGCTCCTGGCTGGAATACAATCATGTCGATTATATCTCTGATGAGAAGGAGCTTCTGGTGGTTTTATTTAGTTTGTCCTGCCTTAACTGACGAATATCCACACTCGTTAGATTCTGCTGCAGGAGCGTATAGCCTCTCTGAGCGTGGGCCATACACTTCAACACTAATGAAGCACAGCAGAATGGCTCTTTCTGTGCCTGTTTAGTGCATCACTTCTTGTCAGTATCGTCTCCTGATGTTTCTCCATATGAAGGTGGTTTCGTTGTTTATTTGATTTTGTTTTTCTCAGATGCCAGCAGTGCGTTGCATGGCCTACTGTTTTAAGATTGTAAAAATGCCATTTACCTGACAAATAAATAAATAAAATCATTTTTATTTAAAATCACAAGAGGATGATTCAGTGTGGTGCAGGCTGTAACGGCCCGCCTCCTCCACAAGAGAGCAGTCTTCAACAAAGTTTGCAATTAAAACTCAAATAAGTGGCTTAACTCAAATTTGGAGCAGGTTTACTGTCAGCAGTGGCTTGTATCTCTCTATCACACAAATCAGGGGGTTAAACTATTATTTAGACAGTTTGGTAAAGGCATATTAAATGAATAGAAAATAAAGCGGCTCATCAAATATTGAGTTTGGTTTACTAAGGTAGCAAAGCAGCACGCTGAACATTATTCTGTTTAAGCAGCTCTTCATGTGCTAACTGTTTAAACATTTATTTGAGAGTTATAATTGCTATTTTTGGCAGTCACTGGATGTATTAGAAACCTGTTTTTCTATTTCTCGAACACCTGTCTATCATATTGTGAGTGTTGATGGTTTCTGTATGACTGAAAACTACAAGTGTGCCGCAACAAGTCATCAACTCTGCAGCTTTTCTTTGACTAATGTTCTTGCATTTGTTTTAACTCATGATTATCAGATAAATGTCCTTTTAATTTGGTGTATGGTAATTTTACTATGTTTTTGAATGACCATAAACATGGCAAAACAAACTAGTTCATGGTCTTGGTCTTCTGTGACGGCTTCAGCCGCAGAGCTCGTCTGAGCTGGAGATACTTGCGTAGGCTACTGCAAGAGCAGCAAAAACAACTCTCCCCAAACTCAAATGTTCATCATAATGAAATCCTGAAAGATTCAAACAAAATAGAAATACAGCAGAATGTGTAACCAGCTTAAGGCAGTAAGGATTAGCTAGTTCTAGAAAGAAGAATGCTTGATTTTTCTTACGGTAGCTTTAAACAAATGGAAGAATGGTTGATGTGAGAAAATAGAATGGCATTATTTGACTTATTTTACTGTCTGCTGTTGTGCTAGGTCTACATTGATATTGTCAAGAAAGACATTTGCCCCCAGTTTCACAGACGAGGCTTAAGCTTAGTCCCAGACTAAAGTGTAATTCTGAGCCGTTTCAACTGAAAGAAACTTGCACTGACTGATCTTAAAACATATCAGTGCCCTTGTTTTGTCTCAAGATGAACACCAGTAAGGTTTTTTCTAAGGAACATTTATAAAAGATACTTAAATGTCCTAATTGAACTACGGCCTAAACCTGGCTTAGTCTGTGAAACCCGGCCTTAATGTTTGACGCCACTTTTTATGTTATGCAAACTGTTATTTATATAACATATCTGACTAACAAAAAAAAACTTTTCCTTGTATGGAACATAATACTCTTGGTTTTCTATGATTTTTCAGTAGCCCCTCACTGCAGAACACAAGATCCAGGGGGCGGGGCTGGATCCACATCTAGGGGGTGGAGACAGGTAGGTTTAGGTATATGTAAGGTGGGAGGAATTGGATCTGGATCTTGTGTTCTGCAGTGAGGACCATCTCTGATTTTTCCGTGATAGTTCTCTCCCCAAACGTCTTTACTCCTTTAAAATGTGTGCAGCGTCTTCATGGAAATGCCACTACTGTGTGCTTTTAAGGAAGTGAAGTACAGCAGGTAACGTGTGTGTGTGTGTGTGTGTGTGTGTGTGGGGGAGGGATTGTGTGGGAGGGGGTGAGAGGGAGGGAGTGTGTGTGTGTGTGTGAGAGGGAGGGAGTGGGTGTGTGTGTGAGAGGGAGTGTGTTGTGAGTGAGAGAGAGGGAGTGCGTGTGTATGTGTGTGTGAGAGAGGGAGTGCGTGTGTATGTGTGTGTGTGTGAGAGGGAGGGAGTGCGTGTGTGTGTGAGAGGGAGGGTGTTGTGAGTGAGAGAGAGGGAGTGCGTGTGTGTGTGTGTGTGTGTGAGAGGGGGGGGGTGCGGGTGTGTGTGAGAGGGGGTGGGGTGTGAG